TTTTTGTCTCTTTGAATTTTTTTTTTAATACAGGGTCTACAGGTTCTCACTACACAGATGGGACTCATAGTGATCCTCTTGTTTTCAGCCCCCCAAGCACTGTGATTACAGGCACACACCACCACGCCCAGTCTCAATCATGGTCTCAGCATGCCCCAGGGATGGGGCCAGCATAGCATGCCAGGGACTGAACCCCTGTCCCTGCATCTGCCTAAGCAAGTGCTTCAATCTGTTGAGCTATCTGGCTGGCCCTTTTTTGTCTTTTCGAGACAGGGTCTCTCTGTGCAGTTCAGGCTGGCCTTGAGCTCACTTTGTAGCCCAGGCTGGTCTTGAACTCATAATGATCATCCTGCCTCAACTTCCCAAATACTGAGATCACAGCCATGTACCGCCTCGCTCAGCTACTAGTGCTCTTAACAGATGTCAAGTCTGTGAAGCAGTGGGGCAGACAGCACAGTGCTCGGTGCCCCTGAAGCCCTGAAAATCAGGCTGCCTTCTGTCTCACTTGCAGAGGAGGAAACTATGGATCAGAAGGAACAGGCTGTGCAGGTTGGCAGAGCTGGAAGAAGCCACAGAGAGGCTGTGGACACACACCCAGTGTGCTGTGCCCCTGCTCCCAGCTTGGGTGTTTGCACCATGGAAATAAAGACTGGCTACAAACCCGGCTCCTTGCCCGTTCCTCAACAGCAGTTGATCATTTATAGCCCTACAGAGATGCGCTTCTTAGCCTCTAAAGCCCGTGCTTTACCTGCACTGGCAACTGCCACTCCTTAACTACTGAAGGGGCATCAGTAGCCCAGCCACGATGGTTTTGCTTGTGATCTGGCTTCCCACCTCCTGAATATTTGCTGTGTTGCTCTAAGTCAGAACACAGGGAAGAGCTAAAGAGGAAAGAGCCAGGGACCAACATGGTTCCCATGTTTCTGCCTCCATGACCCAATTATTCTAACAAGGCCCCAAACCATTCCAAGAACCATACCACTGTGGCCACATCAGTGGGTGACCCTTACTAGTTAGAGCCCTCACTACAGCTTCACCCCTTGAGGAGTCTCTGGACCTAATTGAGTCAGCAATCAGGACAAACCATCTCAGCCTCCTAAGTGGCTCTGACGATATCACAAGCCAGCTGATGCATCTGGCTGTTTGTTTTGGTACCAGTGATTGAACTCAGGGCCTTGCACTTGCCAGGCAGGCACTGCTGAGCTATATCCCCAGCCCCATCCTGCTGTCTCTTAATAACCTGTTATGAGGATTCCCCGCATAAATTAACACCTAGTCCCACTGTGTTCACAGGTCTTGGAGAACCATCTGGAATGAATGCTGAAGAAAAGAATGTGAGTATCTTTTAAAAACAACCTTGTAAGGAAATGATGTCAGGTGCTATGTTTCAGCTTTGAGGTTTGTTTTGTTGGTCCCAATAACCCAAGCACTAAGGATCATTTTTCCATCTCAGAAGGGATCCAGGAAGAATGAAGTCAAACAAAGCATGTCCTCTGACCACTAAAGAATTATGCAGTACGTCAACAATCAGCACTTAGGAGATGTAAATATCTCCTAGACATCCTAGAAATTGAACAGCACCCTTCTATAAAAAGGAACGGGTCAAAGAAGAAATCACGAAGGACATTTGAAAATATTTCTTAATTAATGATGATGATAACGTAATCCATCTAAATTCATGGGATGCAGTTAACATCGTACTTAGATTTATAGCTCTTAATGCTGATTTTAGCAAACGAAGCCAGACCTGGTGATGCACAGCTGTAATCCTAGCCCTTGGGAGGCCAAGGTAGGAGGATTGCTGCGAGTTTGAGGCCAGCCTGGGCTACGGAGTGAGTTCAGCCTGAAGTACATAGTGAGATCGTGTCTCAAATACTAAAACTTTTTTTTTTTTTTTAATTTTTTAGGGAAGGGTTTACAGGGTGTTGAGGGTCTCACTACTAGATCAGTCTCATAGTGATCCACCTGTGTACAGCCTCTCAAGAGCTGGGATTCCACGTGCGCACCACCACGCCCAGTCTCAATTGCCCTCTCAGTGCACCTCGGGGGGTGGGGGCCAGCATGGCAGGCCCAGGGTCGAGCCCCCAGCCCCTGCGCCTGCTTGCAGGTACTTTAATCCACTGAGCTATTTGGCTGGCCTCTAAAAACTAATCTTTTATTTTATTTTTTTCATAATTCTATTGATAAACAGATAGCAATGACAGTTTCAAATCAAATTGGTAGGACAGTTTCAATAATCAACACACTGCATAAATTCTTCTTAGTGGTTAATTGCTGTACAAGATGCGGACTTGATATCCTATTTACAAACACCATTA